ATTAGCGTGGGCAGTGAGGAAGGATGAGGAGGGGTTAGGGAGGCAAAGCGGAATACCAGCCAGGAGGAGGAACCGCAGGGTTCCTTTAGGAAAGGACAGCAAAGAGTCGAGAGAGACTATTAAACTATACAGATAAACTTATTGATGCGAAAAATGCATTCTGTGTATACATTGATAAATATAAAATTTGATAGAAACCAAAATCACATCTAAAGGTTTGGTTACAGGTCATTTTTACTCTGTGCTTGCCCACACTGTCTCATTTTTTTCTACCATGAATATATGCGGGAGGTCTCAAAGAGTGTATGGGAAGAGTCCATGATCTTTTCAATTCCATTTCCCACATTTTTCCCGTCTCTCCCATTACGTGAGGGATGATGGACGTAAGAATAGTGTACTACCAGATCAACAGAGGGTTGGCATAGCATCACATTCGACTGTTTTGTTGCGTTTCCCTTGATTCCCTTCTCCCTTCCACGGTTAGAATCCAATACCTGCCCCAGAAGTAGCTTTTCTCCCAATTTCTACCGCTGGCTTGGGTTTGCTAAGATGTTTCCACTGCCCTCCAAGGCAAATTCACCGGCGGAAAGGGAGTCAGGGCTACAATGCTTCACAGGTGCCAACAGTTTCTCTCAACAGAGGACTTCCTACAACACACACACACACACACACAATACACACACAATGACTGGAAGCGCAATTTGTTGAAGTTACAGGCAAAGAACTGTTGCAGAAAAGATTAGTTATTTTCAAAAGAAGGGAGATGAAAGGGGGAGAGAAGATTAAAAATAAGAGAAAACGTTTGCTACTAGTCTGAGGAGAATGTATAAGAGAAACAGACTGCCCTTAGTCAAGGAGACTGCGGCTCAAAATGTCCATGTAGTAAAATGGGTTGTTCTCACTGTGAAAAACCCTGGGTCAAGCCTGGGCGAGAAGTAAACAGTGCTTTGCTCCACTTATCAGAGGCACGGCTCTGACATGAGCCACCTGCACAGGAGCCGAGGACAACACGTGGGAGGAAATCCAGGTGTTCCCAGCAAGAACTGCTCTCGCTCCCCAGAGGCGGTGTGAAAATGTTCCTATATGCACCCATTCTCATGCCGATGTTCCTTCTTTCGGCCTTCACTTATCCAGCACCTCCTCAGTATTGGCCCTGTGAGGGGCACCATAAGGAAGATGGGGCTCTACAATTTGTGGAAGGCTATGGAGGACAGGGGGAGCCCCAAACCCATCTGCACAGCATCTAGCCAGATGAAGCCTGGGGAGAGCCCCTCTCGCCACAAGCAAGGGTCTCGAACAGCTTTATTCTCAGGCAGAAATCACTGTAAACTTGGTTATGCAGGATCAAAGAACTTGATACTTGGTCAGTTAACCTCCCTCTTGACCCAACCTGAATTTGTTCAAGTATTTTTCTTTCGTTTTTGTCCTGTTGTTATGCAAGTATTTCTTGCTTGTTCCATGACAAAAATTTCTTCCCTGGCTTTTTAAATACTGATGGTGGTTTTTTCTTTCTTCCCCATGATTTGTATGTTTATCGTTATGTTATTATCATTTTATCCTTACCCCTTTATTTTGGTTTGGTTTTGTATGTTTCCCTGGGTTTCCCAGTTGGTGAAGCACAGAAGGAGCAGATGCACCGAGATAGTAACTGATGCAAGGGTTTATAGGGGAGGTGGGGGTGGGGTTGGGAGCAGAGAGGGTGAGGGGACTTGGGGAGCAAATATGGAATGCAGGAGGGGAGAGGGAGCACGAGAACTGATTGAGATCACATAACTCGTTTTAAAAGCAATTGAACCCTGGAGGTATAGGGGATGGGAATACTCTGTCAAGGACACCAAGGGAAGAAAGGAAGAAAGAGACCAAGCGTGACGATGGTCACCACGGGCGAAGGGAAGGGTCGTGGCTGAGGAGGCAGCGGGTTTATGTCAATGGTGGCGGAAGACTCTGGGAAAGGATATCAATAGGGGCTGCAAAAAGCGCATACTCAAGGACCCTGATTTATACAAGTAGAAGTCGTGGAATTGGAGACGGTTCTGTTGTGCGTATTTCTGCCACGATTAGATAAAAATTACATGAGTTAATAATGATTACAAGGAAGAAAAAATGTTCTAGAATTGAGTATTAGGACAATGGCATAACTCTTCTTGTTATGAGTGGATTCTTGAATTGTGTGATATGTAGATAAAGTGCTAATAAAACTGTTTTAAAAAAAGAAAAGAAACATTTAAAAAAAAGATGGGGATTTCTACTCCCAGAAAGAACTATAGTCCTGGAAACCCACCGCGGCAGTTCTACCCTGTCCTATAGGGTCACCATGAGTCAGAACTGACCGGGATGGCAGTGATTTTGGAGTGCTAAGCACTAAGGAGCCCTGATAGTGTGGTGGTTATCAATTGGACTGCTAATCACATGGTCAGCAGTTCGAAACCAGCGGCCAATCCAAGGGAGAAAGATGAGGCTTTCTACTCCTGTAAAGAGTTAAAATCTCAGAAACCCACAGGGACAGTTCTACCCTGTCCTGTAGACTCCTTGTGAGTTCGAGTGATGGGTACTAAGGAAGCCTGGTTGTGCAGCATCCACAGCTACTATGTGAAAAGTCAACTGTTTGACCCCACCAGCACCGACTTCTATAGAGATATGCGGCCTTTGAAACACCACGAGACTGTTCAACTTTGTCTTCTAGGGTCACTATGAGTAACAATTACTGAGATAACAACAGGTTAAAATGGTTGGACACTGAGGATTTAACAATGACTAGATACGGTTCCCAAGTACCCACGTCTCACAGCCAAATATGGGAGACCATTCATTCACTCATTCAAAAAAAACTGAGTACCTAGAGACTGTGTTCCAGGTGTTGAGGATACAGTAACAAGTCCAACAAGGCCCCTATCCACACAGTTTATCTTCTAACGCAGAGAGAAGGATAAACAACACAAAAGAAACCAACCAGGATGATTTCAGTGAGTGGTCACAATAAGAAAAAAACATAGATAAAGCCAAGGTATGGGATAGAAAGAAACAAGGTGCTGAAACGATGGCTAGGGTACTAAGAGAGGAGGCCTCTCTAAAGACGAGACATTTGAGCAGAAAACGTACACGAGTGACTAGGACATGGGTGTTACAGACCCCCAGGAAACACCAACCAGAGCACAGCGAGAGTCCCCAGACTCAGAATGAGCACAGAGTACTTGGTGAGAATGTGGAAAGGTCATCTCACCCGGGCTGGGGTATGCCCAAACGCAATCAGATGTTCTCCTTCAGTCAGCAGTGACTTCCGGGCACACTGCACGTGGCTAAGTAAACAGTGAGCAGCGACAGGCAGGAAGCTCAGCCCACAGGTTTCAGAGCAGTCAGTCCCGGACCACTTGCACGAGGAGGCTAGGTGGCATGCCTAGGAAGAGGATCCCTGGAGAGTTTACAAAGGCACTGAAACCGAATGCCAAATGATGGCTCATTCCTCCAAACCCCACTAGCACTTTGTCCAATTCTCTTTCACAGCCCTGTGAAGGCTAGAGGGGGCCCATGGCCCCTACTTTGAAGATATGGTTAAGGAAGGACAAGCTGTAGGCCAATTGACAGAGCACTCGGCCAGGAAGTCATGCAGCCAAGAACCACCCACTCATTGTGTGACAGATGGTAGGTACGTCCTCGCTCTTCTCTCAGCCTCAGAGGAGCCCCTTCCCCAGCTACAGAATGACAAGAGGTTTGAGGATGAGCTCAGGAATCTACATCTGTAACAAGCACCCCACTGGATGCTGATGCCAAAGTTTGAAAACGAATGGACTCCGAGATTCTACCTTCGTCCACCTTGCAAAGGAACAAGTGGGGAAAGGGGCTAGATATAAAACTGGCCTGGCTGAGCTACGGCTCCATGGAGTCCTTCGATGCATAGCAAAGCATCCGGGGTACACAGACGCGGCCCCTCCTCCCGCCTGCCCCTTGTGCCATCACCCACAACATTCTCCCCACGAAGCCCCAGCCCCAGAAGTGCACGCCCTTGTCTGCCTGCACCATACCTGTGAACATCGCACAGAAGTAGGGGCTGCAGGCTGCCAGGACCACACGGTGGGCTTCGATCTCGACATCTTCTGCTACAATCATCACGTCACACAGCAGCTGCTTACTGTAAGACATCAGGACGAGAACATCAGGGTGGGTCACAAGGCAAATGATCCCCACCCCCAGCTGTACAAGGGACGTGTCCGACCTCCAGTTAGGCAGGGATAAGCTTATCAACTTTTCCAAGTCCCTGATCAGCCTGGTATTCATGATTTTCAAAGGCACACAGAGAGATCCAACTACATTATGGTGGCAAACCCTTCATTGGTCAGCAATTCAAAACCACCAGCCGCTCCTCGGGCAAATAATGAGGCTCTCTATACCCATCAAGTGTTACAGTCGCGGAAACCCACGGGGCAGTTCGATGATGTCCTACAGGGTCACCATGAGTCAGATTTGACTCCACGGCTGTGAGTTTTGCTTGGTTGGGGTGACTGGGCTTCAGCTCTGTGTCCCCCAATTCCATCAGTTCTGCAGGAAGGTAAGGGAGAGCGCAGCTCAGGAGCAGTGGAAAGGTTTGGGGTTGTCGGCTGAACAATGAATGAAGGCTGAGGCCCAGGAACCTGCTGCTGAGGTGAGAACCTGCTGCCCTAAGAGCTGGTATTAGCAATTTCCCAAGGGATCCACTGCACCACACCCCAAATGTGCCCCCAGTCACACTACGTCATCAGGATGCTGATATTTCTTCTTCTGCCCAGATTTAGCGTTTTCACCAAGAAGACCACATCTGCAGGAGCAGTGTGCCCAGCGTGTGCCAGTCCCAGTCATGGCCGTGAACAAGAGCACTATCATTACCTTTTTACTTGCTTCCCACCCTGCGACCCTGGACAATCTGAAAGAACTTGTCTTCAGTGTTGCCTTACCCAAAACAACCCTGGCACACACCTTTCCTGATTTCAAACCACGCAGCAGTCCCTTGTTCTGTTCACAGAACTGCCTCGGATCCACACACAGGTTCCGCGTGAGCACAGTAAAGTGTTCTGGAATTCCCATTCTTCTCAAGGGCCTCTCTGTTGTGTTGTGATCTCGTGTCACAGATAACACTGAAATCAATTTAGTGGACACCTATTATGTGTTGAAGAGCTGGTGGCACTACTGGGTAAGCACTGGGCAGCTAAGGCTGAGTCAATGGTTTAAACCCGCCAGATCCTGCACAGGAGAAAGATGAGGCTATCTCATCCCGTAATGATTTACAGCCTCAGAAACCCTATACAGTCTCACTATGAGTCATAATTGCCCCGACGGCAGAGGGTTGGGTGGGTAAGAAGTTAAATAACTTCCCCATGGTCATACAGAAAGAAACCAGTGAAGACAGTTGAATGCAGACCAAGGAAGCTCAGGGCCCAAACTCTTAACTTCGATGGCATCGTGATCACCACCCTCCTTTGGATTAAAGCCCTGGAGGTAGAAAGAAGAGGAGGACAAAGATTTCGATGGTGATCCACTGGGAGTGAACCACACTGCACTGGTCTCAGAAGTCCGAGGTCATGACTAAGGTAAGTGTGAGAATGCTGAAACCAAGGAATGAGTTTGCCAGGGCTAACAAAGATCGATATCTGCCATCCCACGTGCAGCATATTAAGTCACCGTCTACCATTAAAATAGATGCTCAGGTTCACTTATCAGAGGCATAAGATCACAAAACCTGAGAAGGCAAGAGCTGTCAATGCACTTACAGATCATCTGGGCTGTGAGGCTCGGTGAATTGGTGATTTGTGCAAAGCCACAGATACCTGAATCGTAAATCCAGTTCTCTTGACTCTGGATATAGTGCTCGTTCCACTAGAGCACAATGCCTCATGACGGGTGAACACTTGGAACGGGAAACAAGAAAGGTAGCTTAGCTCTACCTGGGACACGTGGAGGGCAAGAATGGGTGAGTACACAGAATAAGGCCCGGTGAAGGAATGCCTAGGCTGGGCTACACCTCTGGACACCAAAGGCAGAAACAGAGGGTGGACCTCACACTGCAGTGTGCCTGCCACAGGCCCACCCAACTTTATCAGCATAAGCCAGCTCCACTGAGAACAGAACGAGCTCTGCCCTCACCGAAGACGGCAGCACAGACAAACGACCTCGCTGCCGTTTTCTCACCTGTCTCGGCTATCTTTGGGACACGTGTCATGGGACACCATATGGGACTGCACATGTCATCCTGGAACAGGCTCAACATTCACTTTTTAAAAAAGTATTCCTAACAGAAGCAAGCTTATCATGGGCATTTTCACTTCTATTAATAACTTTTCAGAGAAAATGGAGTTAGCACTGCTATCTAAGAGGAGCTTGATGGGGGGGGGGGCGTTATTTGTGTTTGCTTTGGTAACCAGTATCTCAATAAGAAAACTGTTGACACAGATGGATCAGAACCCTGGACACATTTTCAATGTTAAGCACTGAATAAACAAAGATCAGAGTGGAAAAGCTCTCCCTAGTGGAGTGAACAATTCTCAAACAAATGGGAAAGGGACAAGATATTTACTTGTAAATTGCAAGCAAGGTCTATCTTACAGCCAGAGAAACTCACACCCTGCAAAGAAACCAAGAAAAACCTGCCAAAAAATTTAATGGTGCTTTCCCCTAGGAAAAAAGTGAAGGAGAGACAGGAAGCTGGGGTCTGCACACCTGCTCTGCATCGAAGAGCCAGTTCTGACGTAAGGCATTGTCCATGAGCGGTCCTATCCCATTACCAGGATTCTTTGAGACACTTCTTTTCGGGGACAACTGATTTGCAACAAGAGTATCGAGATAAATTCAACTGGGCACAAGCAGGCTAAGGGTGCTGGGACAACTGGGTATCTTCATGCAAAAGAATGATGCTATACCCTTCGCTCAAACCATCAGGAAAAGTTAGCTCAAAATGGGCCAAAGACCCAAATGTAAGTGCTAGAATTATTAAACTCTTACAAGACAACATAGAAGTAACTCTTCATGGCTTCAATATGTTACATCCAAAGCACGAACAACAACAGCAAAAGAGAAAAAGCAGATAAATTAAACCGTTACAAATGTTTAAACTTTGCACTTCAGAGGACACCAGAAAGAAAGTGAAAAGGCTGCCCACAGAAGATGAGAAAACATTTGCAAATCATACATCGGGCATAGGACTTGTAGCTAGGCAGCAGATGAGAACTTTACGACAACCCAACTGAAAAACTGACCAAGGTGCGGGGGAGGGGGGACAGCGGAAGACCCGACAAGGCATTTCCTCACAAAAGATAAACAAATGGCCAACAAACACAGGAAACAATGTTCAGCATCTTCAATCACCAGAGAAATGCAAATTATTAACGAAAAAAACCAGAAAACTCACTGCCGTTGAGTCAATTCTGACTCATAGTGACCCTAAAAGGCAAAATAGAACCGTCCCTTGGGGTCTCCTAGGCTGCAAATCTTTACAGGGGCAAAAACCCCTCACTTTCTCCCACTGGTGGTTTTGAACTGCTGGCCTTGCAAGTTAACAGCCAATTCATAAGCCACCACACCACCAAGGTGTCTTTCATACCCAGTGGATGGCAGATAATGCCAAGTGATGGTGAAACTGTGACCGCTCCGGACCCTGACACAGTGCTGAGCAAACGTGAAATGGTCGGTCCAGCCACTCAGGAAAACGGTCTTGTTAAGAGGTTAACCACGGATTTATGAGACGACCCAGCAGTAACAGCAAACTCCGAGGTGGGCCCCCAACAGACCCGAGGACAGATCTTCACACAACGTGTGCACACATGTTCATAGCAACACCCCCCACGATAGCCCAGGGGTGGAAACAACCAAAGGTCTACCGCCTGATGAACGACAGACAACATGGGGCACATTCACATAACGAGATTTCACTAAGGAATGGAAGGAACAGAGCGGCGGATCTCCACCTTCCTCACGCCGCGACCCTGTCAGACAGCTCCTCACGTGGTGGGGACCTCCAACCACAACATTATTTTCATTGCTACATCATCGCTGTCATTTTGCTACTGTGATGAATCAGGCGGTCCCTGTGAAAGGGTCCTTTGACCCCCAAAGGGGTCACGACCCACAGGTTGAGAACCGCTGGAATAGAGAGTTGCTGCTTCAGGGATAAGTTTCTGTGTGAGGTGACGAAAAGGCTTTGGAAACAAAGAGTAGTGATAGATGCACAACACTGTGAAGGTGATTAATGTCACTTAGGAAAAAAATTGTTTTAAAGAACAAATGCCACTTGGATTACACTTGACGATGGTTAAAATGAAAATGTTTATGTTCGTTTCATCACAATCACTACAAGAACAAAAAAAAAGGAATGCAGTACTGAATGAACCTTAAAAATATTATTCTAAGTGTAAGAACCAGTCACAAACGACCACATATTGTATGGTTCCACTTATTATGAACTGTCTAGAATGGGTAAATCGACAGAGAGAGGTAGAGATTAGGGCGTGCCTAGGGTGGCCGGCCCTGGGGCACAGTGGTTATGATTTGGGCTGCTAACCGCAAGCTGCTCTTTAGAAGGGTAATAAGGAAAAAAGAAAAAAAATGAGGCTTTCTACTTCCATGAAGAGTCAGGGTCTCAAAAAGCCACAGGGGGGAGTTCTGTCCTGTAGGGCTCCTAAGGGTGGGAGTAGATTCCTTGGCTGTGTGATGGAGGGCACTGGAGTGGGTAAGTGACTTCTAAAGGGTATAAAGTTTCTTTTCAGAGTGATGGAATGTCCTAAAAAAAAAGATTGTGACTGGCTGACATTTAGATGGGCAAAGACAAAAGGCAGGTTAGCGCTAAACAGGATCGGTGGTAAGAAGAAAAAGCAGGTCAGCACAGAGAATAAGGCACAGGAAGGGGACTCCAGGTGGTTGCACGGCTCTGTGGATTCACTAAAAGCTACAACATCGAACCCTGTAAATGGGTAAACTGTATGCTATGTGAGTTCCAGCTCAGTAAGGCTGCCTCCAATAAACAAATAAATAATACAGAAAGCAAAGGGCCAAGATGCAATAAAGGCCTAGTGATGGACTTAAAAACAAAACAAAAACTATTCGCAATGATCAAGTGAGAGGTTAAAACTGTCCAGATTCAATTGGCAAGAAGGTCTCTGGATTCTA